CATTTCTAGATTCATGGCTTTAATCCACTGATCTCTATCTTCATCATTCATTGCCTTGTTATAGGTCAATGGATCCTCAATGCCATCATTAGGTATGATGACTTGAGTTTCTGTCAAACCCAAATAACGATCGGGTTGAGTTATAACCCTCCTACTACGTCGAGGCATTCTCAACTCTTGAGAAGAATGTGATTGATCAGAAGTGTCAACTCCATCAACAACTCTTGTTGAAGAACCAGCTTGATCAACAACTCTTGTTGTTTTATCAGTAGCTTCTTTAGAAATCTCACTTAATACTAGTTTGCTGTGAGGTTGATGATTTCTTATGTGGTCTTCCTATAAGGGTCATAAAACAAACCACCTTTCGTCTTTTTGGGATATCCTACGAATAGACATAATTTTGAACGACGCTCTAATTTCTTGGGGTTTGGCAACAACACATGTGTTGGACATCCCCAAATTCTAAAGTGACGTAAACTACTTTTATGCCTTTCCAATAACTCATAAGGTGTTTTTGAAACACTCATAGTAGGAACCATGTTCAAAATGTATGTAGCAGTCTCCACTGCATATTCCTAAAACGGATTGGGTAATTGAGCGGAACTCATCATAGACTGAACCATGTCTAACAAAGTTATATTTCTTCTTTCTTATACACCATTTTGTTGAGGCATACCAAGGGCTGAGAGTTGAGACCTTATTCCATGTTCTATCATATAGTCCTAAAATCTTAAGTCCATGTACTCTCCTCCTCAATCTAATCGAAGTGTTTTAATAGTTTTACCTAATAGATTATCAACCTCAGTCTTATACTCTCTGAATTTTTCAAGAGCTTCGAACTTGTGACGCATTAGGTAAAGATAGTCATACCTTGAATAATCATCAATAAAACTGATGAAATATTCATACCCTCCTCGTGTTTTGACATTGATTGGACTACAGAGATCTGTATGCATGAGTTCTAAGGTTTCTTTGGCTATATAAACTTTTTCGGAAAACGATCATTTAGTCATTTTACCCTCAAGACAAGACTCACATGGAGGTAAAGAGTTGTCTTCGAACTCATTTAAAAGTCCTCTTTTAACCAATCTCTTAATCCTATTGAGATTAATGTGACCTAGTCTTAAGTGCCAAAGATAACTATTAGGAGAAATCTTTTGTCGTTTATTTTGAGTTTCAGTTGTTTTAAACATCTCGGTATTTAAAATGACTTTTGTTTCGCTCGGTTTTAACATATATAAGTTGTTTTCTAGTTTTTAAGAACAAATATGAATACCTCTTTTGCAAATGAACACTATATTGATTTCAAAAGATACTTTATACAACTGTTCTAATGAACAAGAGATAGATATTAGATTTCTTTTCATTTCTGGAACAAAAAGTACATTATCTAATATAACGAATCTATCTCCAAAAAATAACTTTAAATGTTCTACTGATCTTGCTGAGACAACCTCTCCTGTTCCAACCCTGAGTGTTATCTCGCCGTCCGCAAGCATTCTCTAGGAGCTAGTTTCCTGGTAAAAAGAACAAATATGATTAGTCGCCCCTGAATCTAGTATCCAAGTTGAGTTGTCATGCTTTACTAAACATATTTCTACAATGAGTAAATCATATTTACCTTGTTGTGTCTTTTCAACTTTCTTCTCTGCAAGGTATTTTGGGCAGTTTCTCTTCCAGTGCCCGTTTTCGTTGCAATGGAAACATTTTCCTTTATCTGCTTTTTAAACCTTGTGTTTGTGGTTTGTAGGAATTTTATTTTTCCCTTTACCCTTCTTCTTCATCAAAACACTTTTAGAAGTTGAAGGTTCATAATTATTTTTGGAGGACGATCCTCGTAGTAATTTCTTGGAGATAGCAACATTTGCTTCTCTTGTTTGTCCCTTGTTCGTTAAGAGGAATTGATAAGTCTGTAGCTCATTGAGAAGAACAATCAAGTTATATTTTATTTTGTTCATTACCACATTTATGCGGAACTGGAAGAAGCTCTTCGGAAGAGACATCATGATAAAACTGACTTAACTCTTCTCATCAATGACAACTTCTCTCCGAGTCTCACTAATTGATTCTTTCTCCTGCCTTCACTCAATCATCTATTTATTGAATAACCTATTTCTTCTTTCACAGTAACCTCGGGAAACTCATTCACCTTCTTTCACTCCTAATACCTATTTATTCTTAAACTGATCTTGCTTGATCCTTTCTTGAACAGTAAACTAAGCCGAAACGAAAGAATGAGACTTAACCCCATGTTCTATTCTAGTTCTTTTAAAAGAAGGAAAGACGAAAGATTAATGAGAGTGAACTCTTTCACCTATTTATTCAAACACTCGGTAAATAGGCTTCTCTCCTGAACCTTTTCCTATGCTTTCCGGTCTCTCATCTGTTCTTGCTTTTCCTATTTATTCTAAACTCAAGACTCTGAAAAGGAAAGAGAAGCTCATGACCCTGCCCTTGAACCTCTACGATATTACCTGAATTCTGTTCTTGTTCTTTCTCTTCAAACTCGACCAGTAACTAGATGGTAAGCTAATTCGCTTCTAGGATGATGATTGGCCGTGCCACTCTCTGAGGATTCTTCTTTCACTCTTTTCCTATACTGTAAGAAAGATGAATTCGTTAACTTCTCTTTCTCCTTTCCCTTCCCAACTTACTCATGAATCTGAACCTGATGGAACTCGGTCTCGTGGCTTCGCCCCTTGTGAGTTCAGTGATTGTTCGCCTCTCCCTTCTTTCCCTATGGATTCTTTAACTGTACTTTAACTGTAACCTTGGTCTCTTTTCTTTCACTCGATAAACTCAATCACTTATCCTTGATGGAATGGAACTCACTCTTTTCCTCTCCTGCCTGTAAACAAGGTCAAGCCGCTAATTCATTGACTCGACTATAAACACTCCTTATTCATGAGAGTAAACTCCTTAGAAGGAATAGACTGTAAACACTCCTTATTCATGTGGGTTCAATGCCATTCATTGAAGTGTAAAAGATCCTATATTACCCGGGGTCGGGCTTTGACGATGTTTCCTTGACCGTGTAGAACATGGATTAGCATTATGTCATTCCTACAAGTGATCCCCCATCCAGGATTGGAAGAAGTGCTATATGAGGACTTCGAGATCAAATAGAATATATTTCTTTTGAGACCTCGTGAGCCACTTATTTCTCCGAAACAAGAGAGAAAAGTGATTTGACTCCTTTTTCCCAATAAGTCGACGACATTACACCATTGGGATACTTCGAATATTACATATAGGATACACTGGTGCTAAAACCTTTTCTCAAGATATCTTCCAAACTGTTGGGGTCGTTGCTCCGTATCTTGTTCCCCCGGTGTGAAACCAGTTGGTTCTGTAGTTTGAGAATTCTACTGATCCCAAGTACTCCATCTCCATCATTGCATATGGGAATATAGAAAGTCAAGAAGAAAAGGCACGACCAGAAGAAGTGTGAAATAAGTCAATTTATCCAGTTGAGGCATTCTTGATTGAGAAAAAATGATTGATTATTCCCTCAAGATAGAAAGAGACTCCTTCCTGTACGAGTAGTGAAGAATTATAGAGAGATGTGGTTGGTTGTTGACCAATGGAAAGCATGGGAGAAAGAAAGATGCACAAACGAAAGAAAGAAAGAAAGAAAAAGGGAGACTTCATAAAAAGCAAGAAAAGCGCCCAGCAAACTGCGAACCTGACTCAAGAGGGCAACCACCAAGATAAACAAACTAAACAAAGAAGGGCGCGGGAGCCCGCCAAGGTCAAGGGTCTCCCCGATATCTTTTCTCAACAACAAAGTGAAAGTAGAAAAACCTAATTCTTACATCACCACAGCCCACTTGGTTTTCTTTCTCGCGGAGCGGCATACCGAAAAAATAGAAAGAAAAAAGGCGAGGAGAAGAGGAGAGGGAGTCAGGAGTAAGGAAGGAGCGAGACCGATAGGGATAGGGAGTAAGGAGCTCGACTCGAAGAGAAGAGGGAGTAAGGAGTAAGTAGCTCGATTGATAGGGAGAGGGAGAGGAAACCTTGTCTATTTTTTTTATAGCATAGCGGTATTATGCCAAAAGACTTTTTAGCAGATTGTAGGGTTATCTCTAATCTGCTCCATCCATTCGTGGAGGGGTTCGGCATCCATCTACGCAGATATTTCCAGATTAGAGCTCTGATAGAGTCAAAGGGAAAGCTCTGATCTTGCTCGTGAGGGTAGGTAATGAAATTATCCGTGAGGCTAGTAAATGGAGTCTTGAACTAGCTGCTGCTTGTGAAGTATGGAAGGCGATCAAATTCTAATTTGAGTAGAGACTTTGTAATCCCGGAATTACTCTTCGTTCTTGTAATTGACTTTAAATTAAACAAAACTCGCCCCCCTACCTAATCTTTTACTAAAAGGATTGAGCCGAATACAATTCGCAGATACTATTGTATAGCTTTTTGCTAGATATACTCCAAATGGAAATCAAAATCTAAGATGAAACAACGTAAACATTTTTGTTGTTGTGTCGGATCATCCGCAATTAAGCCTATGGATCCTTAGAATTGGTGTAGTCATTTAATATCTCCCGTAGTGTCGTTTCAGATCATGGATCGAACAAAGTATCACAACTTCTTCTACCCATCCTGTATATTGTCCTTTTTGTTCTGTCTTGGAATACCAATTTGTTAGTAACCGAGATTTAATGAAAAAAGTTCTTCATATGAATAGAGGGAACAACCCTTCTTTTTTAAGACCCACTCGTTAGTAATAATCTGAGTGATTGGATTTCGATCCTATTCCTGATAGGAAATGAGATATTCAAATGATTTCTTTTTTATCGAATGACTATTCATCTATTGTATTTTGATGGTAATAGGTAGGGGCAAGAAAGCTCTATGGAAAAAAGATGGTGAAATTCGAGGTTGTCTAACAGGGAGTTAGAATACAGGTCTAAGCTAAGTAAATCAATCAATAGTCTTGGTCCTATTGAAAGTAAAGGATCAATAATAATATGAATCAAAACATTCCTAGTCATAGTGACAATTCTAGTTACAGTATCGTTGATGATTTAGTCGGCCGGCATTCAGTCGGATCTGATGACACTTTTTTAGTTAGGGATAGTAATAGCAGCAGTTATTCCATTTAGATAGTGAAAATCTAATACTGCTTGAGATTGACAATGACCCTTCTTTTGTAACTGAACTAGAAAGTTCTAGTTTTCGGAACTCTACTTATAAAATCTATCTAAGAGTGATGAGAGAGACTATGATAGTTACATGGATGATACTAAATATATATAGTTTAGTTGGAATAATCACATTAATAGTTGCATTGACGTTATCTTCGGGCTTAAATCAGTATTGATAGTGACTTTTTAAGTGGTAGTCACAATTAGAGTGACAGTTACGTTTATAGTGACATTTGTGGTTCAAGTGCAAATAGTAGTGAAAGTGAGAGTTCCAGTATAAGAACTAGTAAAGGAAAAGGAAAAGGGCTTTTTTTCGTCGTAATAGTGGGCAGGTTAAGTGAGATCTATGCCAGACGTAGGAATCAAATTCTGGTCGCAGCAGAGGGGCGGCGCCCTTGCCTGGCACCATTCCCGGACCTAGCAGCGGACGGGCAGGCCGGGCCTGAATTCAGACCTGACTCTTCTTTGTTTGAGCTGCTCCCACGCACGCAGACTGAAAGATCTTGTCCTGGACTAGACAAGTACGTACAAATCCTCGTGTGACTGGGGAGGGAGTCTCAATCAATCAAGATTCCTTGTCACGCCACGCACGGAGATCTTTCCATTGTCAGAGGGCTCTTGAACAGACTCTTAAAGGTTAGATTACTACCTGCCTGCCTTTACGGAAGAGGTTGACTTTGTACCGCCCGGAGGTCATATGGATCGGAACCCGAAGCGATAAGAACGAAAGCCCTACCCACTGCTACACCTACTGGTCAAAAGGCTTAAATTCTATGCTACTTCAAGCTTTTGGTACTTCGGTAGGCTCGATATATCCTTTTTCAAAAACAAAAGGTTTGGAACCCTTCCCCTATTATTTTTGCATTTCATTCTCTATTCGGCCTGCCCAAAATGAGAAAAAAGGAGAGAGACGCTATTGATTTGAAGTCACTATGAAAGGGTCGGTCAATAGCATAGCACTTTCTTTCCCGGGTCTCCTTTCGAAGGGGAAAGGCCTTCGCATTCCTAAGGGGGGCCGGACGGCTTTGTTTGCCCCAGCTTGGCGAATCGCATCCCCGCGCAACGACATTGTTTGTGAGCCCCTTACCATTCTCGCTCAGTGTTTGCAACGACTGGGGAGGCAGTCGTAGAAGAGAAGCCTATCGCCACTCCGACCATCAAATACGACCTTCTCAAAGATTTGATGAAATGGCCCCAAGAGCGCTTATGACATATGGGAACTTATGGCTGGAAACAATCCTTATGGTTTATCCGGTAGGAATAAGCAAAATCAATCAAAGTCCAGGTTGGTTGGTGAGCTTAGTGATTCGGAGACTATCTAGCTTGATTCGGGGAGCACTTGTTGGGTTAAAAATTTTGTTGTTGCTAAATGTTACAGCCTAAATGCTAAACTACTGACCCTACTTTTTCGGATGGGTGTTCACCCCAAAGTGTTCCTGGACTACATGCATACATCCGTAAGTAACTTAGTGCAATATGGAAAATTTCATTGAGAGGGGAATCAGTAAAGAAAAGAAAAACTCACATCTTACAACATAACATCAGTAAAGAAAAGAAAAAACTCACATCTTACGACACACAACATTAGTATTTGAGAGATGAGATTGTCCTCGAGCTAAGGAGTGTTCACATGAGTTCGTTGAGGTGTCTACACAGGAAGAAAAACCTCTTTTATATTCTGTCGAAAGTTCGGATTGCTCCACCTAAGTTGAACGAAAAGGAGAAATTCTCAATTCTAACTAGTTAGATTCAGGCTCTTTGGCAAATTCTTTAGATCTGGGTAGAGTCTCACTCAGTAAAGAGAGTTGTAGATTCGTAACATCATGAGAAAGTCCCCTCTCCTTTATAGGGGAGCATATGAAATCTTGAACTGAACTTGAACCTTTCTTTACAAGAGAGCATATTTGTTCTCTTCTTTCTTTTTCAATTTCGATTCTTTCTTTTTCATTTCCAAATCTAAAGACGAAAATTCAGTTAATTCCTTGAGAGCTGCTCCTCCCTTCCTCGGTAAAGCAGCTTCGATTCCCTCATTCCCTTCTTTCTGTAGGTCTCTTTGCTCCTACAAAAACTCATACGGTGTGTCTCCTACTCCTTCACCTATCGGTCTCACAACTTTGCCCCTTTCCTTTCGATTAAAACAAATATTAGTAAAGCGCGGGAGCCCTACAACTAGCATAGCAGCCTTCGGTCGGAAGAAGGCTCTAAAGCCCCTACTCCTAAGTTGGAGCAACAAGCAACGGATTGAGCGCGTCTTCTATGAGAGAAGAAAGCATGTAGAAGTCTCCTTCCTTATGGCTGGAAAAGGTGATTGCCGAAATCATCAGAACACCAACCATGAGAAGTGAAGATCAATTGTCGATCTCTTCACGAAAGGATTGGTAAAGGCCCTCGTTTTTCTTCTCACTCGCAAACAGGGAATGATCTCGATCCATTCTCCAGTTTTTAGGGTAAGACATAGGTAGAAGTGATTGTTTGATTCTTCCAATTTTCAATAACAAGAGACATCGAATTTCTCTTAAGGGTCTGACTTTGTCCCTTCTTTTCTTATTAAGGTTAGGGAGCTTTTCCACTAGGATGTATTAAGAATCTTGAAATAGATTATATCAAGTCAATAGAATGGTGCATTCTTTTGCTTCACAATTTTGAGTTCTAGATTTCGATAGGGACAACCACATCAGTTCGAAAGAGATGGGGGTAGTATGGAGGGAAGTTGTTCGAAATAGAAAGGAGGTCATGATCGTAAGAGAATCTGGTCCCCACTTTTTGAATAGTGTCCTGTGGAAGCTCTTCCCAATCCGAGTCGATTAGTAAAAGATCCAGTCTGCATCGAATTTCCATTTCCTTCCCTTTCCTCATGTTAGACCAAGTGAAAGAAGCGCCATAGAGTGGTAGGTCAACCAAATCACAATCAGCAACGGGATCCGCGAAATCTTCAAGACCTCTTCTCTGATTTTCAGCCTGTAAAGTCAGAACCCCTTTCATATTGTATTGCATAAGGCATTCATTTGACTTTCCATTAATGCACCAAGCGAGGTAGGTTGGAAACGGTATGGATGAATCTGAGCTCATTCTATAGGTCTTGCTTGTGAGAAAAGCTGGAGCATAGACTGATGTAGCCATCCATTCCAAGTAGTGGTCTAGGGACAATTAATCCGTAGTGACGGGAATGGCGTAATGATTTCAGCAAGAGAAGCCGGATGAGCCTTCACGTTCGGTTTGGAGGGCGGGGCCAACCCTACTATCATTTATCATTATGCCTTTGCAATCTGACTTGGTTTCACTCTATTTGTGACCTTACCTTTTCTTCCCCCTGTTTCATTTTGTCGTTGAAGCTATCCCCTTGTCTTTTCCGTGATGTCAAGAGCTACACTTCTTGCGATCTTTGATCATTTTATGTTTGCATTCGTCTGGAATTTGGTTTCCCGGGCTGTTGAGAGTTCCAATTTGAGCATTATTATTTGGAATCTTCCGATATTCTAAATTAGTATGAGTTGAATCAAAAGATATATGGGCTGGAAAGCTGCCTACCTGCGAAAGCCGAATAGATTTGATTTTCAGGCTCCCTATTTAAATCAGCATTCTCCAACCTCGTTGAAATTCCACAACTTCGTATGGGCTTGAAGCTGGTGCTCACGCAGAGCTTCTAGAACAGACAGTCTCTACGTGTTTAAAATATTCCTCCCAGTCTTGCTATAAACCCTATCAACGTGTGCTTTTTTTATTCTCCTATTTTTTACTATAGTCACATCCTCGATAAAGAGTTCTATGATCTCGGCTAATTTCAGTTAGTAGTGAAAGACGAAGACAGTATTCAATCTATCCCCTTCGTTCTGGAGTTCAGGACTGATTTTCTATGGTCTCTTTTCCTTAAGCTTCAGCCCTCTTTAAGCTCTCTTCTAGGGAATTTTTGCTTGGTCTAGTAACAAGTCTCGATAAGCTGACGCAATCAGGCAATTCGTTAAAAGAGATATCTGATCGATCAGTCTTTCAATACTGACTCCTTTCCTCTTTTCTTTCTAATCTTTATTTCCTTGAAGAAAGAAAAGAGATATTTGACTGAGAACCCCCTATTAAGAACTTTGTGTCCTATCAAGCTTCCAGACTTTCAAGCTTTTGTTTCAGCGAGAAGAGAAGATACCCTCCTGAAAGAAGCCCTTAATCATCCTTAGTGGAAGAAAGCTATGATAGAAAAAATGGAGGCTCTAAAGAAGGAAGAACGGGAACTGATCACGTTACCAAGAGGAAAACAAACGTACGGTTGGTTGTGGGCATATACCCTGAAACACAAAGCTAATGGCTCTATCAAGAGGGCTCATCTTATGGCGAAAGGTTTCACACAAACCTATGGATGGCATCGATTATCTTGAGACGTTTTCTCCTACAAACTTACAAAAATTCCATACGAGTCATTCTGTCAATTGCAGCTAACGGATCTTGGTCACTGCATCAGCTCGATTTAAAAAAGGCCTTTCTTCATGGAGACCTATACGAGTTTCTATTCGTCTTCCACCAGGGTTTCAAGCTTAGGGGGAGGAAGGGAAAGTTTGAAGGTGAAAAAAGGCGAGGGTCTCATATATCTTCTTGGCTCCTCGGGCTTGGTTCGAGATATGAAGGTTATGACAAAGATGGGTTTCTAGAGAAAGAATGCTGATCATTACGTGTTCATAAAAAGGAAACAAGAGGAAACTACTGTTCTCCTAGTGTACTCAGTTTAGAACTATTCTTTCACAACAAGTTAGTCTATTATATTAGTCAGAAAGGCAGCTAGTAAGCAAGTCGAGTAAGACAACTATTATTATATTAAGTCAAGCGAGCTTTTGCTAATACTACTAATCAAAGGAAAAGCTAAAGTTAGAATGAGCATAGAGATGATAGGGGCGCTTATTCATGAGCTCGATAGTCTTCCTTAAAACCGCTACCTATTCTTGAACGGAAAGTGGTATGCTTGTGAAGAAAATTTCTGGTCGAGACGTGTTAATGAAATCCCATGAAACTCTCGTTCATTCTGTGAATAAATAGAGACAGACTACTGCTACGGTTTCGAACGTCACTTTGGGATCAACCTCAATGAATTATGGCGTAACGGGCTTGGTATAGATCTGTAGCCCGCTCTGGGTCTTTAACTGAAATTGGGACTAGGCATGGAAAAGCTCAATCAACGTCCTCCTCTCTTGAACTGAACCTAAACCGGAACAGAATGCAAGGCAAGAAGAAGAATAAGATATTCCTTTCTTTACCGGGGAGTAAATGAATGAAAGAAGAAACTCCCCTATCCAAGTTTCCAGTGAAAAAATAAAGGGAGAATCTAATGAAACAAGAATGATCCTGAACTACTGAACGAACCTGATTGAACAGGGTAAACAGGACTATTCTTCTTTCACGATATGCCCTTCCCCTATTTCTTCTTTGTAACCTCGGTCTCACTGCTGCGCACCTTTCCGATTCATTCGAGTTCACTGTAAGGCGAAACGAAAGATGAATTCGAGTTTAACAGAACTATGACTTCTGAACCTGAATCGATATGACCTGAACTACTTAACCTTCCCCTATTTATTCTTGAACTGTAAAAGAAGAAGAAAGATGAATGAGAGAGCCGAAACAGGAAGGAAAG